CCAGGAAACATGAAGACCATTGCTCTCGGTAAGGAGGCTGGGCATGTCCTTACTTTTTTCTATCTATTTATTTTTTTTGTTTTTTTCAACTCTGCCTATAATCCCAGACTGTCTTAGTTTGTATATTTATTGATGATTCTTTCGGTTGTTTCATCTATTCTCATTTTTATACCTTTTTATTTATTATTCTTCAGTCGCTTTGTTGTTGGGCGTTGCCGCTGCCGTGCCCGGCCTCCGCCAGCGTCGAGACTCCAACTCGCTCTTCTTCGAACTTCCCGCCGACGCAGATTTGGTTCTTGGCGGAATCAACACGGGATTCGAGTGCGGCGACCTGCCCTACGGATACTACGCCGACCAGGCTAACAGCTGCGCCGTCTTCCACGTGTGTCTGCCCTACATCGACAACGACCTCTACATCACCCGCCACTTCTCCTTCATGTGCGGCGAGGGCACCATGTTCGACCAGGAGCGCCTCGTCTGCGACTTCCCCGAGAACTCCCTTCCCTGCTCCGAGGCCGCCGCCTTCAGGAGGTCCAACGAGTACTTCGGCCGCGAAAATGTGAACTTCCTCGAAAAGTAATTTTCTCATAATCTTGAGATCCCCCCTATTGAGTACAAAATGCTAGGTATAAACCTTTTACATATCACCTTTATACTATGAAAAAATACACGTTAATAAAAACAGATACAAGTAACACGTCTCTCTTTTGAATACCTACACTCTGAAGAACAAAAATATGAAAATGTGGAATGAGGACCCAGGCAGCATTATTTAAAGAGGAGATTAATGTTGTACAGTTCACATTCACCCCAGCCAGTAGATAGCTGTAGCTCTCTCTTTGGCATTTGTGATGCTGTAAATTCCTTCTCGTGCAGATGTTAGTCTTTGGGGTTATGAGAGTTACGACGCGAACGAACACTCAGTGATTTGGGATAGTCCCCCTGGTGTTTCGTATTCTGTCGTGCCACCGCTTCCCAGCCGATGTTCCCTAGACTTCTTTGGCAGAACTAGGATTCCGTGAGCTCAAATCAACATTTTAAAAGGGGGGGGGGGGAGACGAGGGACAGCGGAAAATGTATGAGAACCCGCCTTTTATGATTTCGTTTTTAAATATTCATAATTTATCTAGTTCCGCACAGGTATATATATATATTTTTTTAGATGGTAACTGACTTTGATGTTAGTCCACGAGATAGATTCTTTTCGTAGCCAAGACCTTGCAGATACCTGGTTAATTAAGTGATCTTCATAAAACGGCTGGACACCCCTTTCTTGTGAAAGTATATAGTATGGCAAAAAACGAGACTTCTTATCACCAATACACTGCAGCATAAACATTTTGCTGTGATTCCCAGGTTATACGAAAAAGCTGTGTGCATTTCTCACGTCATACACCAACCGTATTTCATGTAATTGATTTGAGGATGAAAAATTCCTGCCTACTGGCAACGGTAACATAACATCTCAGTAAAGATTCTTAATTCTTTCATCGATAAAATTATTGTACTGTACTAGATTATGAGTTTTGTCACACATTCCTAAGGACGCTATGCCATCTCTTTTCTCAATCGTAATACATTTTGACCGATTTATCAGGAATTTGACATTGCTTTCATGGAATAGAGGCATAGTCATGTAAGCCCCATTTATCTACCATACATGTAATGCTGTAATGTTTGTTCGTGTATGTGTTTTGCTCTTGTTATTTTTGTATTCATGGTTGCTATTATCGTTATTCACATAACTGATGTATCGTAGTCCTTGCATTGTTATCATTATGACAGTTATCATGATTTGTTTCTTGTTTTTCATCGCTTATATTCTTATGAGAGAAGAACTTAACGATCATGATCATAACTACTGTTATATACCCTTTCCTCACGTTGTTTGCTCTGTAATACACATCAACTAAACCTAGCCGATAGGGGCCTTAAGTAGATTCATTCATAAGTATAACAGAGGTCCCTGAAATGTTCATATCTTTGTTTGTTGGTGTATCAAAATTTAGATTTATATGAAATCGTATTGCTACATAGCCAATTGTTTCCTACATTTCTTCTTAATTCTGGTGTTTTATCTCGTAATTCTTAGCTAACACTCTCCAAAGAGGGCCAACGTAGCTTTTAATAGCTTAGGGCGTCGCTATATCGGGACACAGTAGCCTCTTCTACTGATTACAGTGGCAACTTTTAGGGGCATTCTTTGAAGAAAAAAATCGTTACCACAGAACATTATTAACGAAAATACAGAGACAGGGTTGGTCAATAAAAGCGCAATACAAAATGATTTCGACAGCTTTATGCTTTACTCAAGGAAATTGACAGGACGACCGAAGTACTCGTTGGCTCGCCTGTAGTTTGTGGCTTCGTTGCAGGCGACTGAGTTCTCGGGGAAGTCGCAGACGAGGCGCTCCTGGTCGAACACGGTGCCCTCGCCGCACATGAAGGTGAACTGGCGGGTGACATAAATGTCGTTCTCGATGTAGGGCAGACACACGTGGTAGAGGGCGCAGTTGTTGGCCTGGTCGGCGTAGTAGCCGAAGGGCAGTTCCCCGCAGTCGAAGCCGGTGTTGATACCCCCGAGGACCAGGGCGGCGTCGGCTGGGAGTTCGAAGACGAGGGGACTGGAGTCCCGACGCTGGCGCTCGCCCGAGACGGCTGCGGCCACGCCCACCAGAGCGAGGACTGCGAAATTATATTTCATGTTACTCACCTCTTTAAGATGATCATTCTAAGGATAGGAAGGCTATGAATATGTAAAAAATGTAACTGCTGAGTCATTTATTTACTAATAATACTACCTCGAATACCATCAATACCAATTCCGTATTGGTCTTATTAATACTATTATTATTATCATTATTATCATTATTATCATTATTACTATTATTGTTGTTATTAATGGACTCCCAATTTTCACCTAGTGTAAATTAGGTATTTATTGTTATTACACATCAAAATGCTTTTATGTTAATAAATCAGTTACATACACCATCATTAACATATTAAACATTCCATATTAAGGAGTTATTGCAGTTGTGTATTCCAAAGTCATTGCCTTTTATGCCATAATTATACTGACCAAGAATATCCCCGTCAAGTAGTGAATGCATTAACACTATAAATATTTTTCTTGGCATCACCACTGAACTACCAGTAGTACACGGGTGTTTAAATGCTGCAAAATATCGAGAAGCAACTCACTGAGGGCAAGAGTCTTCATCGTTGTCTGCAGGAGGGAAAGAGGGCTTTGTGGTGCTTGCAAGTAAGCTTTGGCCTTATATATCAAGCCGCTGCAACGTCGACCTTGCATATACTTTTCCAGTTTTGTGACAGCTGCCGCGGTCGCAGTCCCCCTCCCCTGCCATTTTCTTGCCGCGCATTTTTGGTCTTTCTTCTTTCTCGCTTTCGTATCGTCGCCTTTGTTCTTTTTTAACATTTACGAGTAAGATTTCAGAAAAACAAGAGGAGTTAGAACGAAGACAAAAATTGCGGTCTTGAGCAACCTGACAACATTGCCTCTTCCCGACATGAGTGGAACGCCCCGTCGCGTTATAACGAGGCTGGGAAAGGAATTGTTGCAGCGTGTACTTAGCAACCTGTTTCATGGGCTCAGGTAACAGTGGGGATCCGATGGGCAGGTGGGAGGACAGCAGGCACTGGCGATTCCATTCCCTCGCCTATAATGGAACTTCTTACGTCTTGAGTTGGTAGTCACCCTAAGCTTCTGATTTGAGTTTTCCTTTTTACTATTTAAATGTTATTCTATAAGACCCTTACGGAGTATCGGCTTCGCAAATTTATGATATGATTACAAACTTGAAAATTTTGTCAAGCTTTATCGCTTACTGAACTCAAATGTTCGCTGACTTGCTCATTAGGCAGGGATGTTTTCTGAATTATATTCTGAATAATATGACCTGTACTCCTTTTCCAAATCTAAAGCTGAAATATAGCATTAATAACCTCATTTTGTCCTGTCATCCCTTTTCCTGCGATATATACCTTTTTTTCTTTTTTTTTGTAAACTTGCAATCAAAGAGATACTTGAAAATACATCCAGGACTCGTAACAATAGTTGTGTAAATAGTGTTGTTTGAAATTATCATTCATTTTTGTTTTATCAGCTGTTGTTGCATTAGCCATAGGAGTAATATCAGGAAGAGTATTGATTAATATTATCGCTAAATGGAGTGCAACATGTTGATCTGATAAACGAAGAACCTAATCTGTGCAAAATTGTTCTACTGAAGAAGTGAGATTACACTTCGAAATTAGCCTTAGTTTTATATCTAAAAATATAAAATGCTCAGGACGATGGGTCATTTTATGATATAGAATAGGCTATACTTTTAGAGCTCAAGATCACTAATCCTCCGATTCCTATTCTGCAAATAGAACATCCTTAGTAATATCCGGCGTCTTCAAGTTGTCGGGAGAACGCGAAGAATGCGAGCGGCGAAGGGAAGATGAAGTCGCCTCACGACTATTGAAAATAGAAGTGCTGAAGGTCTTGGAATCTGTAACTCACAGCGAAAAGAAAACAGATACTATAAGTTGTTGAATATATGTATAATGCAAGAATTTAAAGTCAGTCTACATAATTTAAAAGAGGTTCTTAACCTGGGTTCGATTGGACAAAATACTCTTTACTGTTGCATTTCATTTTGTGGACAACTATTTTTACTTTTGCTTAATTTGCGTACGATTGTCAAATATCATCTTGGATTTTTAAACAGTTTGTTTTCATTTCTGATGCATTAAAGCAAACATATTACATCATATTTTGGGGGCGTGGCAAATTTGTAGTTTTTATCATGGTGCCACGAAAGAGGTTAAGACTTACTGACTTAAAAAAGCAAACAAAACAAAGTTCCCATTCTCGCGACCAAAGTATTCATTGGCTCCTCTGAAGTTAGCGGCCTCGGAGCAGGGAACGGAGTTCTCGAGGAAGCTGCAGTTAACATTAATCTCCTCTTTAAATAATACTGCCAGGGTCGTCATTCCACATTTTCATATTTTTTGTTCTTCAGGGTGTAGGTATTGAAAAGAGAGTCGTGGTACTTGTATCTGTTTTATTAACATGTATTTTTCAGAGTATAAAGGTGATATGCAAAAGATTTATACCTAGCATTTTGTACTCAATAGGGGGGATCTCAAGATCATGAGAAAATCACTTTTCGAGGAAGTTCACATTTTCGCGGCCGAAGTACTCGTTGGACCTCCTGAAGGCGGCGGCCTCGGAGCAGGGAAGGGAGTTCTCGGGGAAGTCGCAGACGAGGCGCTCCTGGTCGAACATGGTGCCCTCGCCGCACATGAAGGAGAAGTGGCGGGTGATGTAGAGGTCGTTGTCGATGTAGGGCAGACACACGTGGAAGACGGCGCAGCTGTTAGCCTGGTCGGCGTAGTATCCGTAGGGCAGGTCGCCGCACTCGAATCCCGTGTTGATTCCGCCAAGAACCAAATCTGCGTCGGCGGGAAGTTCGAAGAAGAGCGAGTTGGAGTCTCGACGCTGGCGGAGGCCGGGCACGGCGACAGCCACACCCAGGAACAAGCAGACTGCAAGCAGAATAAAGGAATTGCATCACAATTCGTTTCCCTCATTATATTCTGCTTATTTTTGTTATTTTATTATCAATTACATCGCCATTATCACCATATCAAATTGATTTAATGTTTTTTAGACTGACGAAGAAAATTATAACTTGATATAACTCATGACTGAGGTTAATCTCTTTAGTATTACGGAAATAGTACTCCTTATTACCATTGCAAATATATCCTCTACAACAATAACAAAGAGCATTAAAACAAAACATCCTTACTAAGAGCCAGGGCCTTCAT